GGTTTAGCCTACAGGTGTATACTATATTATATGCTATATTCAGAGGCATTTGCAGTATTAAAGTGAGTATAATAAAAATGTATGTAAGCCATCATGGAGCCTTCAGCTTTCACATTAATCTCAAAATTACGATTTATTAATATAGTGGCTGACTATGCCTCCCCAAATGACCAAGGGAATCACTGTCTAAGCTTCACCTTGTTTAAACATGTGTGCATCATATTTTCCACTCTCATTCAACATTAATGTGACTGATACTGATGTGACAGTAAGTTGTCCGGTTTCTACAAAGTCTCCTTATATGGAAACATACTGTGTTCAGAACTTTAAACCTCTGTTCGGTAAACACATGTGGACACACTGTTAGAGGATGAAATATCCATACAAACAGAGGATCTGAGAGTCCCTGAGAGGGATTTCCTCAGATATTCACCAGATTCCCCTAGTAATCCTCTGGGATTACCATTCTATACTGAGGCCCTAACCTCTGAATTTAAAACATTATAAACCCTTATATCCCCATCACTAATGCCACAGTTAAACCTATCACTTCACTCAATAGAAGAGGACCACCTCCAATAACCTTATGTATCATGTCTGCTCCGGCCACTTAGTTATAACTCTGGCAACGACACAGACACACTTAGAGGATTTAGAGGGATACCAGCCAGATTTATCTAGTAGGCCGTTGAACCTTGGCCCAAGAAAACACCAGCAAGATGTTGCAACCCGTGTGTTTAACCATGTTTAACATCTGAATATTCTACAGCATGGCAACTGATATCTGGGAAAATGTTCATATTTGGCAATCATTTAATATGAAATCAAAAACACTGTCAGTAAAGCTTATATCACAAATATGACTGTCATGCAACAATAATATGTGATTTCTCCAGCTTTGCTGGAAATGCCAAAGTATAAATATCATCCTGCCTTAAATCTGAGAATCCTTTTGGGATGACTGTGTGGTAGCATGCAAACGTCTGTAATTAATCAAGTGATTGGTCGTCCTATCAAGTAGTCTAAATGACATGGCACATGAGGGGGGAGGGGCGTCGCGCTTTGAATGTTTAACATGTAACAAGACTGCAAATCACCAAGAGACTCATCAAACACATTTATAGCAACAAAATATGAATGATAGATAAAATGTCGATCATGATTTATGATTTATGGAGTGGCCATGGTTGAACTGTTGCTGAATCTCTACAGGAGACATTTTCTTAAGTTCAGACATCAATAAGCCCTTGCGCTTCCTTTTTCTCTTTCACACAGAGATTACACTCACACACACTGGGTATTTGATAAACCTGGGAATGGAGCTGTGGAAATGTTTTCCAGACAAACTATGCAAATAAGACCTTATCCCCAGGGAGACACTGTAAACGGCTTCAACCACCAACAGAATCTACAGAGGGTTGTTTGTGTGTGTGAATGTGTGCGTCTATGCAGGGGTACCAAACACAAACATGCCTCCGGCAAGTTGCAAACACATTAAGAAATTACCACAAAAAAATGAATAAATAAACAAAGTGCTGGAAAAATTTGAGACAATGTCCGGTGTGGACCTGTACCCCTCCCACCGCTAAATCTCTCTCTCTCGGTCGGTTCTGGGAAAAGATTTTCTCACATAAAGATCTCGACTTTGGCAATGAGAACAAAGATGGCTGCCAGACAGGGATAGTGATCAAATTCTTCAGTAGGAAGTCAGAAGTTCAACTTCAACCTCTATCCAATAATTACTTGGCTGGAAAACAGGGAAAAAAGAATTAAAGCTGGGAATTAGCGAGGACACGCAGCTTTCCTATCCTGGATATTTGCCTGCCTGTCATGAGTCTATTTATTGACATCTGTTTCAGTGGAATATGAGAACAAACGGCCATAAATTGAACATGAGAGTCAAAGAGACTTAAACTGAACCACAACTGAACAGAGTACAATCATGTCCTGATTCAGGGGAGCCGCTGGCAATCACAGTGGACTGTTCTTCCAAGAAATGCACTTGCTTGAAAACACCACGGTTTGTCTGAGCGCCCACAGTTTATCGGACCACAAACAAAAGAAGTAACTGAACAGACACAAATGAACCAGCTTCTTTGACAGAGGGAGGATTGTGCCTGTTGGTTATTTTAGAGTTGTGCTGCTGCATCTCTGCTTAGTATCATAATGGGCTGGGACTCGTCAGTGGGAAAGGAATATGATCAGTGACAGAGCTATTCTCACAGGAAACAGGACCAGATGAGTTCAGTGGGAGTAGACTGGCCCTGGTTTTGATCCTAAATATGATGCAGTACAGCCTACAAGCTAACAGAGCAGTGAGGTCTAATGAATATGTATGACAGATGTGATATAACGTGAGATTTTAAATATGTATAAAACTTTTCAGTGGAATAGCGTTGCTAGGAAACAGCTTGGATCTAAGTTTATTTGTCATCTAGTAGAACCAGCTTCCTGTCAGCTGCTGGTATTAGGAAACACTATAACAGGAAAGAGACTTGGATGTTTATCTTGTCAAGGATGTTGAACACACCGAGGATGAGTTTTTCTTAACAACATGTCACTTCACATTCTTAAGAAGAAAATGATGGCTTGTAGTAAGTCTTCAGGATGGTGATGATTACAGGTAAATAAGAAACGCTTGCAACTAAGGGGGGGGGGGGGGAGTCCAACCACCTGTTTCTGCTATAGTCCTTTCCCCTACTTCTTCCTCAAGCAGGATATCCTGCCTTTGGGATGAGGTGGTAAGGGGGGCTGGTGGGAGAAAAATGAGAGGCGAAAAAGATACAGTGTACACAGATGAAATCAATGTCAAAAGGAAAGCAACACGAGAAATGACAAACAATTACCCAGAGACACTGTCTAACACAGCACAGCAGAGCACTGCCCTCACACGCCTGTCGGTGCTAACCCTATTTAAAAGGTCATACCACCAGAGGAAAATGTGTGACTGGAGGCTGCTGAGTCAATATTACTCAGCGTGATGTATGAAAGTGTGAACACACGGCTGCGTTCTCTCATAAGAGAAATAAGAGCATGTCTGTGTGAGCAAACACCATTAACATATATGTTGCAGTCTGCTAGTTACGCCACAGCTCAATCACACAGGGCGCCCCTTCATGCAATATGCAAAGCACCTTGAATGTAAAATGATCATGTGTGTCACACACCGGAGCGCAGTAAAAACTGCTGTCCTGATTGAGAATGTAGGACTGCTTGGTGACGGATTTCTTTTCCAGTGAGAGTTGAAAAGAGAGAGTTAAATAAGAAATGAAGAAGTAATAGGATTGGAAAACTGGAGTGGAAATGTATTTCATTTCAGAGTGAAAGAAGAAGATGGAAAAAGAGTGAAGAAAGTATAAAACATAAAGACACAGTTAAGTTGTTTCTCTTGCTCACTCTGTCTTTTTCTCTCACAATTGTGTGTCTGCCAGTTGTGTGAGGCTGGGTATCTCATTAACAATAATAGAGGAAGCTGAGCTGGGAGGCAGTGCATTGAGCCAGGGATATCCCCATCCTGCAGTCTAACACACTGACCCCTCCTTCCCTGCTTTTGCAACTCCCACCACTATTAACTGCTCCACCTTGGACTGTACCACTTTGTCAGGCCAGGGGGAGATGTTGTTTGTAACGCATCAAAGCCCACATCCAGAGGATGTTTAGGAAAGTGTTAAAAGACCTCTGCTTGAATGGTGTTTTAGGGGATGTTAAGGAAAGGTTTGTCTTAGGGAGGTCTGGCATATGATTTCAGTTTCCTCTGATTGTGTTTCCCTCCCTCAGGATGCTTAAACTTAGGAGCCACATAAAAACACATCTGAAGACAAAAGTTAGAATAACAATCCAGCTTATTCCCCTCTTGAGGATAAAAAGGACATTAGAGCAAAAAGACAGGAAAAGGCACATGGTGTTATGTTTTCGTGCCTGTACATGTATTTAAGTTACTCCACTGATGCTGTATGATGATTCTGGACGATACAGTACAGTGTGTGCCCTTTTGTTATCTAGCAACAGGCCGGGTGAGTCTCTCTCTGTGAGCCTGTTGGGTTTGTCTTGGTGGTGCCAGTTGCACACAGGGCAGGTGAGACGCCCGGGGAATACTAATGGATCCATGAAAGCCCAGAGTACTGATTCAGACATGGTGAAGCGAATACTGATCGACCATTTTGCTGAATCACAGCTAGACAAACACACGGCACAGAAAGACACAGTAGCTTTTAATAAAAAAATTAAAAAATAAATCAACTCTCCAGTGAAACAATTTTTGAAGCAAACGGACATATTTAAGGTGTCAAAAGTTGCCATGGAGTGAGATTAAACGTGTACGACAATGGAGGCACTCTGGAACTCTGTTTTATAGGCAGACAGCCTATAAAACAGAGTGTCAGTGTGTGTTTTGGGTGCAAGCATACCCCTTTCATATATCCATAGAAACACTTACCAGCTTAACAGCTTAGTTACCGGCTCCTTAATAGTGACCCTAGCAACACAACTTCCTGTTAAGGCTCTGCATCCTGAGCACAGCAGCCACAAAAGAAGACTCTACACAGGGACAACGACGTAAAACAAAGCAGCAATAGATGAACTTGGGACACCACTCCACATGTACCTGAGCTGTGTGTTATAAAACGATGTCAGCTTATCACTAACTCTGCCACAACATCTAACCCAATTCTGTCCTAAATGCTTAATGAAACAAATCAGTCATGCCCCGGGTCTATCGGCTGAAGGACATAGCTGGGCCACAGTACATCATCTGTTCACTCCGTGCCTCTCTCCTTCTCCTCTCCTAAGTCTTGACACAAGTATGGAATCCTTCATTTATAATAGTCTCCTCTACAGGATATGCATCTCCTCAGGTGGCACAGCTTGCAGACAGACTGCATCAAGTACCTCTTAACAGATGTAAATGTACTATCTAGGGTTACATTTCAAAATGCAAGTACAAGACAATACAAGAATATCTAGTTTATGTTTGTTTTGAGTGTATGTGAGGCGCTGCCTACCTGGTAGAGTGGCCTAGAAACACACCTGTGTGTGTGTAAAAGATGCAGGGGTGCAGGAAGATTCCTGGCATGCACACGAAGGCGTCGGAGGGCTGTTGAGGTGAGAGTCCACAGCAGACCCTGCCGGGTACAGACCGCCTCGTCAAGACCCAACAAGACTGCCTCCATTACTTCGCTGACTACAAGCTCTGTGATGAGAGACACACCTCTAGACGTATAGCAGTTTGAGTTGATGTCAGTGGGATATCCACAGGTATCACATTAACAAACCTTTATTTGCACAGGTGAGCCATTACAGGTAAAATCCACAGAGGCCCAGGTAATGAGGTAATGACGACCACCTAGCTCCAGTAGATAATTGGGTCCTCTCCAGAGGTAAGCCATAGAGAGACAGGATAACCCTGTGGCTACCTACTCTGCTGTATCTTTCCCTCCCCGTCTTCTTAGTCTCTCTGGGATTCAGCGGTCTGATGTTTCTTCAAGGTCAAACCCTCTGCTAGTCCTTCTGTCCCAGTCCCACACAGCCAGTGGTCCCTGCTGACTTTCTCTCTCTTCTTCCTCATCCCTTCCTCTCTCTTTACTTCTCACTGACCAATGCAGCCTCTGTCCGTTGGTCTGAGCGCCACAAACACAAACATTCCCACTAAGGAAATTCAGCCGGTCTCTTAGTCTCCCTGACTGGTAGTTGTTTTTAAAGCGATATGCACTCCTATACCCCAGCTTCACATAGAGAGTCCAGTGCAGGAGAGAGGCACAGATGACAGCGCTCACTCTCTCTCTCTCTATGTCTAACTTTTCAAGTAGAGAGGGATGTGCTTACCTTGCTCACTATGCACACCTTTTCACACACCGGTGAGACTTGACACTGCATGCATCTGCAGACCAATTAGAGTCACTTAACAGAAAAACATTGTATGCTAGTCTCTAACAGTACTGGGATTTTAGCCAGAATGTTTTTTAAAAAGGAGACGTTTTTCCTCTGAGCCGGTTTTCCCAGGCTGGAGTATCCTGACCTGACCTAATTCCTCTAAAAATTCAAGAATGTCTGACTCATCTGCTGCTCTCTACTAACTGGACACATTATCCTTGCACAGAATGTGCAACACATGTAAATATGATTGATTACATCAAACTAATTGTTTATTTGAGAAAGAAATCCAAAATGAAGCTTAAATTTGCTTACATGCACCCATTTGCAACAATGGCCACATGGAGGCAATACAACCCCCACATACAACCTGTGCCAAGCCTACAGTCTATGTGTATATCTTTGCCAGTCTGTGATAAACCCTTGGCTTAAAAGCACTGCTGAAACAATACAGCTCAAATGATCAATGTTCTCTGTGTGTATGTCAAAATAATTCTGAAATCGAACTCAGCCACATACTTTTACTAGCTCCGACAGACCTTTGCTGATCTTCTGGATCAATAAGGATTTCTTAAATGTCAGTCTAACTATTTAAAAAGAAAAAAAGCTCACATTTTATCCAGCTGAACTGATTTCTCTTTTCCACTTTCCTCAGCAAACGCTGATCAATAGAGAATTCAATAATTTTGTACTGTACAGTAGTAATTCTCTACTTTCCTATTGAACCCAGCCTGACGGTGGGTGGATTAAAGGGCCTTTCGTAGCCCACTCTGATTCATGGAGGGGTTTATCGATGCAAGGGGTCGCTCCTGTACTGCTGAGTGGTATGTGTGCACACAAACTGTTTTTTGTCTGTTATTGAATGCCAACACGAGTCTGAGTAAGTTACTGCCATAGCATTAATCAACTACAGAATACTGTAGAAAGTAGATATTAATTTTACTTTTCCACAATGGGAAAATACTAATATGTGTTGTTAGTGATGCCTTGGGGGCATTTTCTATTTCTTTCTCTCTTTCTGTGTGTGCTACTTTCTCTTACACTCTATATTTTGCACAGATGGCTAATTGAATGGATTGCAGGAAACCCTAATCCTCAATAATGCAATAAACTTGCATCTTTTTAAATATACTTAATTTTACCAACCACATGCTCCAACATCCCTCTTTACACATCACCAGTTTCATATGCCTCTATCTCAGGGCCTCACATTGCCCTCTCAGATCTTGAGAAACCCTGAGGAATGTGTAGCATTCCTACAGTGTGAATTTTCCAACATGAATCAGGGTTTAGCTGGAGCTAAACACAAGAAGGCTGGAGACATTCACCTCTCAGCCACTGTAATTTACGAGGGGTATAAATATTTGTTGTGGTAGGGAGGGGGGTGTGACAGTGCACTGTTCCCATGATTCTGTGTGTGTGCAATGTCCAGCTGAATCCTGGGAAAGGTCACACAGGCCCTGTGATGTAAACAGTCAGCACCAGAGTGTCAGCTGGCCGGCTATTACCACAGTAATAAGACAGAGAGAGAAGAAGACAGTATTTGGGATCAACCTTGTGACGGACAGGAATCAAGTGTGTTATTTTATTCTTTCTATCACACATTCACATACTGAAGTAAAATTAGCTATACCACAGTATAGAAACACTCTAAAAGTACAGTATTAGCATCGAAATCTACTTCAAGTATTGCTGCTTGTTTTTTGGGAGGCAATTTCTGTTTTATTTTGCTAATTTAATGGTCTGCCCCCAAAGAACGAGTCAGAACTAACCCAGTAACACAAAGGTCAGCTAAGGCAGAGAGAGGCACACACACAAAGCTGCCACACACACACACACACACACACACACACACACACACACACACACACACACCTGGGAGAATATATATGGTCAGTTTGAATATTTTAACATATCCCCCAACCCTACTTGGTAGCTTGTGAGGTCTTATCTTAACCTGTAATAATACATTATAATTTATTTGTTGATTCTGTTTATTCTGTATTATTAATCTCAATCAGCAAAGTAAAGTCATCACATGTGTAGTGGAGTAGTATAAAGCATAAAGTTGCATGAAAAAACTACAATTACCTCAAAATTGCACTTAAAGGCTCGTGTAGACTACACAACTTTCAGCGTCGGCCAATGGCTGTGTTGTTCACACTATACAACTTGATGTCTTGTGACGGGAGTCTTGAAGTTGTTATTGCGTTCACACTATGTGACTGATTGGTGACAGGGGGTCACACACTACGCGAGCTGACACCACGTTTTGCAAAGAAAACACACGTGAAATGTGAAACGGGAAATGACGCGAACCTACACACGAAACAGCTGTTGGTTGTTATTATAAAGCTAGAAATTATAAATGCAAAGAATATGGGATTGAGAATATGAGAATGGATTAGCACACGCAGATAGCAGGGATGTCTGTGCTACAGAGAGAGCTGGAGGTGAGTAAAAAGTGTTTTGCAGAGAAAAAGTAGCTGCCTGCTCTGCCAGATGCCTGCTCTCATTGGCTGGATGCGGATGTCGAGTCGGCCGACTTCTCCAGATATTTGGCATACTAGATATCTGGCTGGCGTCGGCGATGCGTCAGAGAGCCGTTTTGATGCTTCATTGTGTAGTTCACACATAACGACATCACAGCCTGACCAACCGGCAAATTAGGCTTAAAATTGTGTAGTGTGAACTAGGCTTAAGTAGACGGCTTGAGGTAATGTACTTCTCACCACTGCCTCAAACCTGTATGCACTACCCAGTCAGTTGTGAGGACATTGCAGTCCCACAGACAGGAAAACAGGACCATCAGAAGTAAACTCTCACTTTCTCTACTCCATCTTCTGCTCTCACAACACTCTTAAACCCTCTTACTTTCTCCTGTCTCCATCTCTCTTCCCTCTTTCATCTCTCCCTCACATCCCTCTGTATCTCTCAATCTTCCTCCTGCTCTCTAATCACCACTCAGGCGTGTTACACTAGAGTGCAGGCAAGTCAGAGAGGGAGAGCAGTGGAGGGAAATGGGTCACAGACACCATAAATTCACAAGAACATTCTCAGCTGAGGCACCGTGGCACACACATTCACAAAAACGGCTGAAGAGAGTAAAGTCCGTATGACACACAGGAAATGTGCAGGTACCACTTGTGCACTTCTTCTCTTCTTTTACTATAATTTTTAAGTGACTATAAACCAATTTCCAGGCTTACTTTTCTTATAGGTTGATTTTTAACACACCCACACACCACCGTCACGGTGACAGAGATTATAAGTGACATACATGTATAGGCCCGGTCTGAAATTCAATTCCGATCAGTCTAGTTTAATATGATGGTATTAAGAGGTGCAAGCAGGAAAATCAATAACATAACTTAAAGAAAGCTGAGGAGCTTCTTCTATGTGTGCGTGAGAACAAAAGTGTATGTGCATGCCATGAGCTTCCCTGTCCACGTGTGTGTGTTTGGAATAATTAAAATGAAAATACTGTTTACTGTGCGTGTGTGCAATGAAAGGCCCCCACGACGACGCAAAGCCTTTGAAGTATCGGGGCTTGTTAGTCTCTTAAGTACAGAAGTTGACCTAGTTCATGTGTTGTACAGTACGTTGCGATATGTTATACACGCATGCAGAAAGGGGTGTTCACTCAAGAAAACATGCATGCACACACGCAAACACACACACACACACACACAAACATTCACATGTAACTCACACTTTCAAGCTAATCATTCCCTCCACTTTGCCTAGCAGATAAATATTAATGAGGATTACTATGTTACTGCAGCAGTACACCCACGGGAAAACAAGAGACTGCACCTCTCTCACTCGCGCTCTCTCTTTTTCTAACCCTTTCCCGCTCTGTGTCTCTCTTTGTCACTCATGCACACGCCCACACGTCCCGCCCAAACACACACACACACACACACACACACACACACACACAATTACTAGCTTCAAAACCTTCAAGTGCTGTAAATTTTACAACACATATTCTTTCTTTCTCTCCCTAACTCTCTTTCTATTCCTCTTACTTTTTCATAGCAGGATTCACACACAAGCTTATACAGCACACACACACACACACACACACACACACACACACACACACACAGAAACTATGAATAAACCCCTTCATATGAGTGAGTCACAGGCAGTGCCTCCGTTCATATTGAGTCGTGTTATCTCTGTCTAACAAAGGGCACAGATTGTGCTGGGATATTTAAGGAACATTTCGGGGTCTCCACATCCTGTTTTGGGGGAGATGGAATTTAACAGACTCCTTCCCATCAACCCACACTCATCTTTTTTGTCTTTTTTCTGTGCTCTGTCTCTCTTGTTCTTCAAAGGACTCCATACAGTCATTTCTGAGAATAGAGCAGCAGAGATAATGAAGAAATCATTCTGAGCTCTGCATGACGGGGGCAGAGGAAGGGGACACACACACATCCATCCACTGGGGATGGTTTGGCAGAGGACAGAGGAGTCCACTCTCACCATAGTTACCCTGCTAGCAAACTGTCTCCATAGAGAAAACACATTATCAGCAGCTCACTGCATTCAGCCTTCACTCACAGTCAATAGGCGATCAGCTCTTCATTGTTTGATCATGCTCTGTGCAGATTTACTTTGAACTTGTACACAGCTGTGCCGTGTGTGTATAGGTCTGCGGGTTGATTTTGGACAT